TGTTAATGTTTTCAACCTGAAAAATAATTGGTGTGAATACAATGATATACTTGAGATATGAGGAAAATACATTGGGTAAAATATTCTTGTTTAAGAAAGATGACTTCAGAAAAAAATTTTTTAGAATGATTTGTTTTAAAAGACTTCTACCAGGAATGATTTAAGTAAGAATTAAAGTTTTGATGTTTAAAGAGAGAATGTCTCAGCTATTTGATGGTAGAGTAGCACAGTGCAATGAGAACATGCTTTAGAATCAGGGAGCTTTGAGTTGTGTGATATTGAGCGAGTTTGATATGATATTTTATTTTTCTCCTCTGTAAAAGGGTCTTGATATGCCTACATAAAATAGGATTGTAACGAAAACTGAATTAGTTAAATGATATATGCTAAATATTTGGCCCATAGAAGGAATTCAGTATGTGGTGGTCATGTCAGTGAAATAGCAAATTCCCCTTAATGGTAAGAAAATTATGCATTTTGAATTTATTTTTGTCATTAGGCAACATCATTCAAAGGGTGCAGGAAGATTCTAGCTAGGAATCTGGTCTTATCCTTTTTTCTGTTCAATTTTAAGGTTATTAATGATAAGACATCATTAATAATAATCATCAAATAATCAATAACAAATTTGGGGCAGTTTACCTGCTATGGTAACTTGCACCAGTGCTTGGCTCTTTTGAAAGACGAATGCTACATCAAATTAAGGCAAGGAAGGAATTAACAGTGTTTGTTAAAGATAGTTCTTCATTTTTAAAAATAGGCATGTCAACTACAGCACTGTAAATAATTATAGTGGAAAAGTAGAAATACCAAGATGACTACTTTTTTTATTTGACATAGTTAATTCACACAGAACTTATATTCTACGAACTTTCCAATTTTCAACTATTTTTGATCTACAAAAGTGGTTAGTGTATATGGCTCAACATAAGCATTACTAAAGCAAAGATAATTTATTCATTATCTTATTTTGTTTCTACAAATGAGACAAGAGATAAAAAGATGCATGGAGTTACATATCCTGTATTGTACATTTGTCAAATAATTTCTATACAGAAAATAGAAAAAATATATTTGGGGAGATAGAAAGCTATCAGTAGTATTTGCTATCCTCATAAACTTGGTTTCATATTTAACATTTGATTTCGCCCAGTCAGGAGTAACTCAAATATGAACTCCAGGCAATTCTTCAGCTTCAGAATAGGAAATTAGTTTATGCTTCCTAGTTGATCTTGAGTGCATTTTCCAATTGCACTGAGTGGTCACTATGCTTTCTTTGTGTGTGACATTTTGACTTTTCTGAGCCCTCAGAATTATTTCTGACCCTGGATAACTTAGCAGATTAATGAGACTTTTATTGAGTGTTAGAAAAGTAGCTGGGCTACTGACTTAAAGATGATGAAGATTGCTTTTCCTTGAATAAGCACTTGATTTTATTTTCACTTTAAAGATTGTCTTCTGGAAACATTAAAATACCTTGGTGAATTTACTAACTAGATTTTGGTGGAGTAAGAGTTACAATTAATGAGTTAACATTTTGCTGATATCTTTAGAAACTAACCATTAAGCCCCAAGGTTTGCCTATGAAGATTTGCACCTTTCTATGCAGAATTGTACCTTTCTACTTTAAGAAGTCATTTCATCTAAACAGAATCTCCTGCCTGCATTGGCTAATGGCAGAAATTCAACATCATTAGCTAAATTAATTGTTTCATGTGGGTTGTTCTTTAGAATGTTATAAACTGTAATAGAATTACCAAGTTGAAGGCAATTAATTGGATGTACTTCAAATATATTCTAACCAAATGCTATACCTAGCATTCTCTGTAACTGTTTAGAAACTACCAAAAGAAAACTGTTGATGAATCTTAGTGCCATCAAAATAGCCCAACTAGAACAGTTTTAAAACGCCTCATATCTGTATGGTTTGTATCACCTCAGAATGTGATGACCCAGATTGATGACTGAGAAGGTCATCACTATGATTACTGCCTCTTAAGTATTATTCCAGTGCGTCATATTTTTAAAGGAGAAAGTGAGACGTTGGAATACTTTTTCTAGGTTTTTAAAGCCTATGCATCATGGAGGGAGGAATAGAAGGCATGTTCCTCATGTCTAGGTCTCATGTGTTAGAAAAGAAGTTGAAGATTCAGATCCCAACACAAGTGCCACAGAGGTACACAGATGAGTGGAGATGGCACACGGTCTCAGGATCAGAAAGAGCGGGAAGGCTGAAAACTGTGAAGAATTTGAAAGCAAGTCCCTTGGCTCCACTGGTTGTTGTCATATGGGAATGTGGTTCCAGTAAAGCCAGATACTGTGATTTTTCAAATAAATTCACATATATGGAATTGCATATGAAATAATTACACGCTTAAACGTTGGTAACTAACCCATGGCTCAAATAAAATACATCTGTGGGTGCTGGGGAAGCAACCTTTGGATCAGATTCTAACACCCCTATACATATACAAGTGCTATTAAAAACAATGTTGAAATGCTGTCCTTCATCAATGCTTAATATATTGATATATTAATAATCAATAAAGGAAAATTATTCAATTTAATTATTCAAATTAATCAAAGAAGATTTTTTTAGAAGCAACTAAGATATTAATCAACAGATAGTAGGTACATAGGTGCCCACTAGATTGCTGTGACACATTCATTATCATGAATTGTTTTTTTTTTTTTTTTGAGACAAGGTGTGGCTCCATCACCCAGGCTTGAGTGCAAGTGCTGCAATCATAGCTCACCACAACCTTGAAACCCTAGGCTCAAGGAATCCTCTTTCCTCAGCCTCCTGAGTAGCTGGAACTATAGGTGTGTGCTACCATGCCAGGTTAATTTTTTTTTAATTTTTTTTATTTTTTGGTAGAGACAGTATTTCACTTTTTTTTGCCCAGGTTGGTCTCAAACTCCTGGGCTCAAGGGATACTCCTGCCTCAGCCTCCCAAAGTGCTGGGATTCCAGGTGTGAGCCACTGTGCCTGGTCCATTATCATGAATATTTAAAAAGATAGAAATATTTGCTGCCTTTCTCTGGTTTATTAGTGTGTTTGTTGAGGGAAAAAAAAAGATTTCCTGAGAGAGTCGTAAATTATTAGGAATGGAATATTAATAAAGGATGAAAGTTATATTGAAAGGGTATACTAGATACTACAAAAGCTGGCAGTGTAATAAAAAGACTTTTCAAGTTTCTTCTCAGCATCATGTTTTTTAATTAAACAAAAAATGAGTAGTGGTGATAGATACAGTAAAGAAGAGAAAATTAGAATATGTTATTATCCTAGATTGTGGCCCTCAAATTAAAAGAGTGTATTTGACAAAGTTGAAATGAAAATTTCATGTAAATTTAAGATGAGAAAAAAGTGAAGAAATATATAGATTCTATGAAATAATTTGTAGTTCCCTGAGGACTAAGAAAAGACATTTAGAAAATCATGGAGTACAATGTGTCATTTAACTACTGCAGACAGTGTTCAGCATCTGTCCAGCGGACGAAGCAAAGGGCAAGGAATCAAGGTCCATTTCTATTTCTGGCATTGATACCTCTGGGCCCTAGAAAACCAGTGTTACCCTGCAGCACTCAGGCCACTCCATTGTTAAGAAAAGACCATGCATATCCTAAATGAATTCTATGCGTTATTTTCGATGGCTATAAACCATTTGTAGATTTTAAAAACTGAGGCTACCGCAAAAGCAAGGAATGTGATTCTCTCTATATACAATTTACAGAATTAATGAAGAATCGCAATAGTTAGCCAGCAATCAGGTATGTACTAGAATATTCTTGTTTGCATTTCAACTCTGCTCATTCTGGAACCCATTGTGTTTCTTTCCAGGCAATGTCCTATAACTTTCGCTTTGCATTCAATTTAAATAAAGAAAGCAGCTCTAGGATGGTTCATCATTTAAACTGTGGTCTTAATATTCTCCCTTGGAAACTGAGGCAGCCGTATATGTGAGGCTACAGTTAGGCAAGAAGATAAATAAGTTACATGCTAAAATCCAGAAGTCCAGCTATCACACAGGAATTATATAAAGTTCATCGTCCTTGTTTGTATTGTTTACAAGTTGTTCTTCAGCGGCTTTGAGTGAGACACTAACTTTGTATCTGACTTACAGTCTTACCTTTTTTCTTTAGAAAAATAGAACACGAATGAGGAATTTGAAGACAAACATTATAGATACAAAATACACTTACCTCTCTCTTACAGCGTGATGCACAATATGGAAAATAGTATCTTTTATTTCTACCTACTCTAATTACACATGAGGCATTGAACCAATTCCCAAATAAAAGCGAACATAAATAGTATACACTTTATAGAAGAAATCATTCTCTTCTATTACCTAATAAATAACTTGTAAGAAATTTGATGAGTCGATGTTGCTAAAGGCAATGTATCACGTAACCTTCTTGGGAATTGGCTTCCGTAAGCACAATACTATCATAGTTCTCATCAATTCAATTACATCGAATTACAAGTACATTTTGCATGCATATACATATATACATCTATTATGTATGCACACTTTTAAAAAAGCATTGAAGGTAATATATCAATCAGAAGCTCTAGAATATAAAACATAGAAGAAAGGAAGGATTATCTGCAAACCCTTGGATGAATTTTGTGCAATGAGCTCAACACAAGACACGTACCCTTAATGCATATTAGCATATTAGAAGACTCTTACTGGCAAAGGGAATAGATTTCTAAAACAAGTCTACTTTGCAAATGGTCCCTCCCAAACCAATTCCTATTGATACTGTACCTTCCGGAGGGGTTTGAGCTTGGTCTCCATTATGAAGTCATACTTGCAGAGCTCACAGCAACGTGTATCTGAGCTCTTTATCCACTGGTGGAGGCAGGACTGGTGGACAAAGCGCAGTGTTCCAGTGCAGCGACAGGGTGTGATGAGGGGGCTCTCTTCATCCCCTTCGCAGTGACAGATTCTGTGGAAAGACGCAGCAGCCAGCATGAGATTTCCCAGAGAACATTTCTCACCTGTGTTGTTTCTGCCCTTGCTTATACCAGGGCTGTTAGAAACAGCAACCTAAGATTCAGAACACTTGGACATTTCACTCCAACTTTAATGCTGGAACCAAATCTATGACCAATACAGATTAAGCATTCCTAACCTAAAAATCCTTAATCTGAAATGCTCCCCAATCCAAAACTTTTTGAGCACCAACACAATGCCGTAAGTCGAAAATTCCATTTAGTCAAAATCTAGTTGCACAATCCAAAGTTTATTCACTACTCCGAAGGGAAAAGTAAAATTACCTTCAGGCTATGTGTACAAGGTATATATGAAACATAAATGAATTCTGTGTTTAGACTTGGGTTGCATCCCCAGGATATCTCATTATGTATCTGCAAATATTGCCAAATCAAAAAAAAAAAAAAAAAATCCCCAATCCAACACACTTCTAGTCCTACCCAAAATATCTCATTACATACATGCAAATATTCCAAAATCCCCCCAAAACTGAAATTGGAGACACTTCCAGCTCCAATCATTTTGGAAAAAGAATACTCAACCTGTATTAATTGACTTTTACTTTTATGGTCATTGCTGGACTCAAATCATGTAATAAGTTGTGCATTACACACCAGCACATCAACAATGCACTGTCATTTCATTCATACATGGAAGTCAATTTTAATAGCACCACTATTGTGTTATGTCCCCAATTTAATCTATTTAATAGGATACTATCTATGCGCTTTCATATATAAAAGTTACGAGTTTTAAGTATTCTAAGGAATATTATAGTTTGGTAAACTTTATTGTGTTACTTCAATAATATCAGACCATGGCATAAAATTTATTAAATATGGTATCTTACCAATGTGGAAAAGTTCTCAAAAAATTTTAAGGTATAATGAAGGAACGAAGTTAATACAAGATGTCTTAGCTTGAAAATATTACAGATATGTTCTTAGGAAGATGCACACCTATTTGGTTACAACAAATGGTCTAAACTGTCAATAATCATCATTGTCTAAAAAAATCACAAAAATCACTGATCACACAAATTTGAGTACCGCAAATCTTATTGTTTAAAAATGCTAATAAATACATCTACCAATGAATTGAGTTGAATCAGTTTCTGAACTACTATGAATTCTAGTTTCACAGATTTGCAGTCTAAAATCATTTTATCTCATATTCAGATTTTAAAAAGTAATTTATTTTTCTCTTTGGATAAGACAAGTCTCCCATAACTTTAGCTGGTGAATTCAAATCTCAGCCCTTTAATAATCTGAATGATGTAACCAGCAGTTAGACATTGTTAATAAATTTCATTAGAAATGTTGCTTTAAATTTGTTAAACATAGACACTCATATGTTTACTGTAGCACTATTCACCATAGCAAAGACATAGAATCAATCCAGATGCCCATCAGTGGTGGACTGCATAAAGAAAATGTGGCACATTTACACCATGGAATACTATGCAGCCATAAAAAAAATGAAATCATGTCTCTTGCAGAAACATGGATACAGCTGGAGGCCCTTATCCTAAGTGAATTAACACAGAAGCAGAAAAACAAATACTGCATATGCTCACTTATAAGGAGGAGCTAAATATTGCATATGCAGGGATACAAAGATGGAAACAATAAACACTGGATATTGTTAAAGTGGGGGAGGGTGGTGGGAAGTAAAGTTTGAAAAACTACCTATGATGTACTATGTTCACTACTTAGGAAGGAACCATTAGAAGACCAAACTTCAGCAGCATGCAATACACCCATGTAACAAACCTGCACAGGTAGCCCCTAAATCTAAAACAAGATTTTACAAAATGCAACATGAATGTTCAATGTAACATTTAAACTTAAAAAACAAATCTACATAATTACTTTTTTGACCTAAGTCACAATGGCAGGCTGGAAGAATGTATGAATCACTGCTACTGTTCTTTCCTTTACAGTGTATAAAGTGTGTATAGATATAGATATATCAGCTCTCTCCCCAGGGGAAATGAAATGGCTGCTCACTCAGATAGTGCAGAAAGATACAGGAACTGAAACCCAACACTCCCCGAGACCTCAAAGTAAAACAGTATGACAGAGTACACCAGGATTTTGAATGAATTTCTTAAGTAAAAATAAAGTGAGCAAAAAGGAACACTGCCATCTGAAGTTCCGGGGTGGAAGTGCTGGGATAAGAACACAGGGAAAGTCAATATTAATGTCCCCTTCCCCCTGAACTAACTTATGAAGCAGCCACGTTGGGTGTAGCACTACCTATGAAAGGCCAATGTGTTAAGGGAAAATTAAAAATTATCTGAGTGCCTATTTTTAATATAAAAACCTGATATAGCTTCTCTCCAAACCTAGGCCTCAGAAACTGGACTTGTTACACTTTGTATCATGCTTGTTGCCAGTTTAGTGTCATAGCATAGATGTTCAGTAGATGTAAATTGAATGGAATTGAATTCAGTCAACAAAATGACTTACTACAAAAGCAGTCAGTAAAAGTAAATAGAGGCGTCTCCAACACTTAAGTTATAATATTTACTTTTGGAGCCACTGAAATCTAATGAATTATACACAATAAGAGTTTGATATTTCTTAACTCCTTGGACATCCATCTCCTGCCTCCACAGAAAGAAAATCTCTTCAACCGGGGGTCAGTAAACTATGACCCAATTCTGTCCACTGAATATTTTTAATCAATAAAGTCTTATGGGAACACAGTCTTACCCACTGGTTTATGTATTATTTAGAGCTGTGTTTGCAGAGTAACAGCAGAGTTGAGTAGTTGCTGCAGAGACCATCTGGCTGTAGAAACTAAAACATTTACTCTCTGGCAAATGATTCAATTCAATATTTACAATCTGACCCTTTCAGAAAATGTTCACAGATCTCTGCCTTAAAGTACACATGTGGTTCTGAGTTAAAGACAATGTATTAATATTATTGACAATAATAAAAACAAATTTTACAAAATGAATCACTCTAACCTCTGCAATTAACAATAAAACTCAAGTAAAGGTACATAGAGAAACACACAATAAAAATGAAAACCCTGCTTGGCCTGGCATTAATTCCTGTTGCTTCCATGAACAAAATTTCTTATTTGAAAAAAAAAACAAAAACAAAACTGCAGTTAATGCTATCAGATAAGTTCATCAGTAAAAGAAGATTGTGTCAAATGCTCTATAGGTACGAAAAATATTTTGCAGTTCTGATTTTTTCATTGACTTTGAAAAAGTAATTTATTCATAAACTGCTTTAAACAAAGACCTCGCTGATTACTGAGTTCAAAGTGACCTGACCAGTTTACTATCATCCAGCTTCTTATGTCTCATAAAGTTGTTTTTAAAAATTTCTGCTAAAACTACCACCTGAAGCACCACTAACAATATCATTTTCTCATAAAATTAAGGTTATTTCCCATAGGGAAAATCAAAAACTTGGTTCATTTTTCATTCCCATTTCACATGATTTATTTTTACATATTTTTAGCATTTTGAAAATTTTCCAAATTATCTGGCTCAAGTTGAACCCCAGGAGTCTTTTCAAACCATGTTGAGATTGTTCTAAATGAATTTAAAAGCTAAATATCAACTTCAAATATCTACTAGAAATAAAAAATAATGTGACAGTGCCATTAAAGAGAGAATTAAATAATTCCTAAATTGATAAACTTCACAAAAATCACAATCACTGAATTATAAGTGGAAACACAGTAATGAAAACATAAACACGCTTTTCCAACAGAATAATTGTGTAGAAAAGCTGATTTCAATAATGTAATAAAATTGCATTGCGAAATATTCATAATTTTGGCACATTTTTACCTGATGGGAAGTTGGGGCTTGGGAATTCAATGATTCTATAAAATTATTGGTGATCCACATTGGTATCTGTCACCTAGTGACAGTTACAAGCTGAATTCACAGATTTTACTGGCATTTTAGTATTTTACCAGTCTGCTTGCAATCTAATTAGCATATGTTGAGACTTTCACCATTTATGACTGAATAAACTCTTACTTTTACATAATTTCTAGCTATCTGTGAATAGCAGACCACATAATGCTACGCAGCAAATTAAATTTTAGATTGGTGTGTGTGTGTGTGTGTGTGTGTGTGTGTGCGCGTGTGTATGCTTCACATCTCTTGCCTTAATGTTTCAGTTTTGAGAAAAGTAGGGTTTTTTTTTTTTGGTGTTACATATCTTCAAATGGTCTTTAGTATTCCCTGTCCCCATCCTTTGCCAAGGTTTCCTGACACTGGTAGAATCATATTTTTTTCTTCATAAGTTTTTTTTAAAACTCATCACTTGAAAAAAAAAAATCTTTGTGAGGGCCATAGTATTATGCAACTCTGGAATTGTTAAATTCTTTCACTCAATAGTCATTTCATTCACGCACATTTTCTTGGTTCTTGCTATATGCAAAGAAAATCAGACACCTCAGTGTCTTTCATATCTTCTTCCTTTTCTTCCCCACAACTATGTCTTAGTGGCTTTGAATTGTCAACAGAGACACAAAGTATCTTTAAGACTGTGTTCCTTCCATTAGGAAATCATTCTTAAGATATGCAGTTATTTAGATCCTCTTAATATACTGCCACTCTTCAAGAACTCTATCACCAATCATATAAACCCAAACTGCTTCACCTTCTTTTCATATGAGCTTGTACAATTTGAGTTTACCTTACCTATGCAGGCATGTTTTCCACGAGTCTCTGACATACAACCACAGTAGCATGGTACAGAGTTGAACAGCTAATAAGCTGTGGGTTTTGCCACAAATAAGTTACTGCTGTGCCAAGATCTTGATTCCTGTCAGCTTCGAGAGCAGTTTTGAGGTCTTGGTGTGTTGTCCGTTCACCCTGGTTGACTCACAAATGTTATCATGTTTTGCATGTTTTAAAAAATGTTGGGAGACACTGGTGTGGCTATTGAAAATACAATTAGCATTATATTTGTT